GGGACGAAGGGGATGTACCTCTCGATGTCCGGGGCGTCGTCGGTGCAGAGCTCCGTTCGGGCGAGGATCCACTCGATGTTGTCTTGCGACAGCCGCATCGTCGCCGTCCTCCTCCTCGCCGCCATGATTTCCCCGCGGCGATAAATTTCTGAACAAACTCTCAGTTCAGTACTTCAGTGGCTTATGTAAAAAAAAAAAAACGGGCCGGTCCGTTTCCGTTTTAGTATTGCCGAAACCGAACCGGAGTAATCACTGCCGCCCCTGCCCGTGTCACGGCAGATGGCGGCACGTTCGCATCTCAACTGTCTTCTGCCGATCGTACGGCTCCGCACACGGGGGTCACTGGATAAGAAAACATCCGAAATTTTGACAAACGGACCTTCTAGAAAACTTAATTGAACGAAAACTAATTTAAAGAAGGGTTTGTTGTAAAGAATGATGAAGCATGACCTTGGCGTGCTATAACGTTGGTGCTGAGATCTTGTTCGACGTGGCACAAATTCATCGAAGGAGCTCGCGTTGACCTTATGTACAATCTAAAATCACGCCGAGCTACTGTAAGGAAATCTAGCCCAGTGGTTAGGCTTTTTTTTTTAGTTGCAGGTTAATTTCTGGTTTTGAACCCATCAGTGCATCTTTTTTTCAGCTTTTTTCTTACATATTCGCCGTGAATGCTTTGCTATATTTTTTTTCCAAAACGACCACATATTTTGTTTGTAAATTTATTTGATGTACATTAATTTGAAATGGACAAATTTACGAACTTAAATTATAATGTTATTAGTCTTAGCAAAAATACTTAGCTCAATAATTATAATTTACATTTTTGAACTTGGAAGGAATAAAAGTGAACATATGTGAAATTTATAGTTACTAAGCCAAAAGGCTTTCAAGATTAATATTGAATAATTTATGTTCTTATATTTAAAATTTTAAAAGAAACGTAAGCAAAGGCTAAGGGAGAGGAACACCATAAAAGCAATTATTTGATGGTAGGAGGCCAGGAATCGAACCCTTGAAACCCCCCCCCCCCCCGTCTTTTTTTTTATTGAACTGCATGCTCTTCATTCCCCCATGTAGTGTGAGATTCACCGTAGACACGCGCATACACTACTATACACTTAACACTACACTCGCACACACTTTAATAAACGGAAACAAACGATGTATCCATGGTCTTATTAAAATTCTATTGAAAGCATATATGTATATGGGTAATATTTCTGGGCATCAGGATTTGAACTCTTATAGTTATGGGTGGAGTCATGCCAATATCACATCACTAATGTCTGTCTGGATGTAATTGTGTATAATTTTGACGTTGAATGCCCGATGCTATTAGGCTGTTGTCAATACATTTAGTTGCATTAATTGCAAGATTAAATAATGAGAAATGGCTATCTCAACATTTTATTAAGCACTGTGTTTCTTTACATCCCAGTAAACGTCATCACCAGTTAAGAATTCAGCAATGCAAAGGTGGAAAAGGGTGTTATTACTCACCGATCGAGTAGACGGTCGCGTCCCTCGGTGAACACCTATCAAATTTCTAGGGTTTCGTCCCCCCGCGCGTTTCAAAATCGCGAAATCCGTCGGCGCCATTGCACATCTCCCAAATCGAGTGGAGGAAATGGGTTCCCCGTGCCGCTCTCTCCGTTTCGCCCCTCTTTCCCCTGCCTTCCCGTCGGCGGAGCTCGCCGGCGCGACCCCCCAGCGCCGCCGCTTTTGTTGTTGGTTGGTACGTATGTGTTTGAGAAATGTGCCTTTGCTCGTGTTTTTCCACCACAGATTCCGAATCCGGTGCTGGAATTCGGCCAAACCGTGAACGAATTTGGAGCCAATTTCTGCCTCTCCGATTCCTACTCTTACTAGGACACATACACGGCCCGCTATAAATCGCCGACGCTTCTCCCAACTTGGTGAATCGAATTCGAAACCATGGCAGCGGCGGCGGCGAGGTCGAAGCAGCTCCGGATGCCGCAGGAGCACATCAGCTGGATCCTTCACCGGAGGGAGCCGTCGTTCGACGAGGCCGACAAGGCCGCGGCGCGCAGGGAGCTCTACACCGACGACCACGAGCTGGTGCGGAGCGGGTGGTTCGACGACCTGCTGGCGCTGCAGCGGGGGTTCGTCGAGAGGAGGAAGGCGAGCTGGGCCAGGTTCTGCGAGATGGCGGCGCGGGTGCGCGCCGAGTTCGAGGCCAACGGGTTCGTCGAGGTGGACGACGGCTACTTCGATCGGCAGGAGGAGAACCGAGCTCTCGTCTGGGAGAATTGCGGGAGAGAGTTCGCTCAGATGCTCCGGGAGAACAAAGACGGGGAGTTTGGGGACCGCGATGATGAAGCTGTTTCTGATGACGAACACCAACACGAAGATGAAGAGGAAGATGAACCACATGATCAGGAATCAGAGTCAGATGGTGATCTCTGAAGTAATATGGATACGAGAAATTATGAAAAAAAAAACATGTAAGGGAATAATGATTCACGATTATTTTTTTGAGGGGAGAATACATTATTCATGATTCACGATCAGTCTAAGTCTTAATTATGTGATTCTTGACTACATGAGCAATCTTTCCTAATTTATGGTACTTTGACATTTGTCGCTGCAAACTTGCGATGACGTTTTGTGGTCACGATGAATGATGCTGTTGGTCTCCCAAGTCGTGAATATTAAATATGTTCATCTAACAGAAAGTCTAATTCTTGACACAAATGAACTGGGCACAAATTCTGTTTGTTTATATCCACAAAATCGGCCAGTATCAGTAGTACATAACAGCATCAGCATTGAGGAGCATACAAATCGGGCGCCGATTTTTAAAAATCGGACGCTGTTTCACCAAGTAAATCGAAAATATTTCATTCTTTTAAAAAACTAGAAGACAACCAAACTATCTCATGAAACATTTTGCAACAACTTATCAAACAACGGTTTCCACAAAAATCGGGCGTTGTTTCACCCTATATAAAAACAAGAGAAAATTCGATCAATAGCACAGGGAAAAAAAACGGTAAAAAAAAGCACAAAAAATTTCCTCTTTCAACCAGAAACACACGTCACTAATTTTTCTTCGATTTGTAGCACTTCCGTCACATTTTCCGTCCAAGTCCATTGGTTAGCCATGATTAGGAGCATCAAAAGACGAAATTACCCTTTATTCTAAGAAAAGTATGGGTGGGTGAGGTGGCCGGAGGAGGCGCAGGTTGTGGCGGCGGTGTTGGGGTGGCTGACAGCGATGGCCCTCACATCCCGCCGCCACAGTCCCCATCCCCAAGCTCATTCACCGCCGTCGCACTACCATCCCCAAGCTCCGCTGCCACCATCCCCACCTGAGCTCGTTTGGCGCCGACTCCTTGCATGCTCGTGTCCCATCGTCGCCGTCATCGTGTTCTGCCGCTGAACCGCCATGCCCGAGCTTGTGTTCCGCTAACGCCCCCGTCGCCCTGGGTTCGCATCCAGTTGCCAGCACAGTCGCCCCCTATCTCGTGTTTCGCTCCCGTGCACCGTCACCCATAAGTTTGAGTTCCACCGCCGAACAACCATGCCCACGAACTTACCACGCACAGTCGCCATGCCCGTGAACTCGCCACGCGCAGTCGCCATCACCGTCGGAGGCGCTTAGCCGTGTTGCACCATAGCCACCCACCGATGTGCTGGCGAGATCGACGGGAGGAAGAGAAGGGAAATATGGAATAGAAGAAGGGCAAATTAGTCTTTTTCCACCCAAATGAATGGCAAATGTGACGGGAGTGCTACAAATCGAAGAAAAAACAGAGGCATGTGCTTCTAGTTTATTGGGGAAAAATTTTGTGCTATTATTTGGTACCAATTTTTTTTTTGTTCCATGAATCAAATTTTCTCTTAAAACAATATTCAGTAAATAGCGAAAGAATGTTACAGTTCTTAAAAAAAGTGAAACACGGTCAGTCACTAAATGAAACAATTTGGTTCAACATATGCAACAAACTATTTTAAACCATTACAACACTTAAACCTTGTATACATAAACAAACCACGTGTCCTTCAAGATAAAATTATTAAAACAATATAAAAAATCCCCTACGACATTTGGTACATACACAGTGAAACATCACGAGTACACTAGCTGAGATATTGTTGGTGGAACAAAATAATGAAATGGATCCTCCTAATAGAACGTTTCCGTAATATGCGGGTGATTTGTTGCAACAGTACACGTGGTGGGGGTGGCACGCGAGGCGTGGGAGGCGCGGGGGCCCGATGGGAAGGATTTTCCCGTCAGCATGATTTTTTGACATAGCGCTGGTCGAGTAGGAAGCTTTGCAAGGTTGGCTCTTAGTTTCTTTCCCTGACGTGCGGATTGAGAAGCAGAGCTGACCGGCAGCTGCTCCGGAGAACTCTACCGCTGCACAATGCTTCGACGAAATGCTGTGGGTGAGGTTTTGTTGATTGCACTATATGAAGGTATCCACGAAATGCTGTTAGGGTCATTGGAATCGGAGTGAATGAACTCCTTCCTTCTCTCTAATACTCCCTCCGTTTCAAAATACACCATTGACTTTTTAGCACATGTTTAACCGGTCGTCTTATTAAAAAAAATTGTGAAATATGTAAAACTATATGTGTACATGAAAGTATATTTAACAATGAATCAAATAATATGAAAAGAATAAATAATTACTCAAATTTTTTGAATAAGACGAATGGTCAAACATGTACTTAAAAAGTCAACGGTGTCGAACATTTTGAAACGAGGGAGTATGTGACTAGCACCAGTCTAGATCTGAAGAAACCAGTTCATCCCTCTGTTTTTCTGGTGCAATGGGAAGTTTGGCCGCCTTCTTAGCGAATTTCTCCTTAGTTGCAACCTGCGACCTATTAGCCATTTCAAGTTCATTTCAAGTTCGAAATACACGGATTTCTGCATTGTATTCCCTGGTGCAAGTCCATTTCCATCAAACAACTGAACCAATCAAACTTTTTCTTCAAATTTCTAACTTTTCCATCACATCAAAATTTTTCTACACACATAAACTTTCAACTTTTCTATCACATCGTTCCAATTTCAACCAAACTTTCAATTTTGGCGTGAACTAAACACACCCAAAGTCCCTATTAGGACATTGCCCCAGCCACCATATGTGAATCATTTGCACCCAGAATTCTAAGTTGGCATGCCTCAAAAAGAATTCATGTGAATCATTTGCCTGGGAAAAAAAAATGACATAACACCACCACCCCTGCACCGCTCTAGCAGAACATGGCAGCAATGGCACAGAAAAAAATAACTTCTGTTGTTCAAAGCTACAGTACTACAGCCAATCAATCAATACTATGAGAGTCAATCTGCAAGGAGTACAAATTTACTGCCCACTTTCGGACAGAAGAACGCAAATGCTGTAGCACTAACAGAAGCACCTCTAGGCTCTCTAGACAGAAGGCGGCAAATGCTGTACCACTAAAAGAAGCACTTCTAGGCTCAGAAGAATGCAAATGCAGTACCACCAAGCACCACTAAGAGATATCTGGAATTTCTAATAGATTGGGAGGTATTATAGGAGGTTCACCTTCGACTTTTCTTTTGATCATCGCACGAAGTGATCGCATCTTCCGAACTAAGTTCCTCATCAGTAAGCAGTTGTCCAAGATGTCACTCCTCATAGCATTCCCCTTGATCATGTCCTTGGTCTCTAATTGGAGATTGTTCATTTTATTGTAAAGCCCGACTAGCTCAATGTATTCGCTGTCAGTGACTTCATTTCCCGTCATAAATCTCTTGTCTGGCTCATAAATCTTCTGATTGGACTGGAAAGCTCCAACTTCAACTGGTTCTTTATAGATCGAGCAATTGGCAGTACCTGATCCTTTCTTGGGGGTGTTCTTGTTGGGGTTTCTCTGTCCCCACCGGACCATAGCTTCCTTAGCCTGCATGACAATCGTTAGAAAAAAGAATTATCGCCCAAAATCCAAATGTTGAATTCATAAGCACAGGAACTTACGGCTTTCTTTCCGGCGGCATTCTTAACGGCGCGCGCAGCCGCAACGGCGGCGCTGACGGCGACCTTCTTGCCGCCGGCAGGCTCTTCATCCTGGAGCTCGAGGGCGCCAAGGTCCACGCCACCCTCGGCGTCGTCCACCGCGACCTCGAGCCGCTCGGCGTCGTCCTCCCGACCGAGCCCCTCGCCGTAGAGGCGCGCGCGACCACCGACACCGAGTCCGGGCAGCGGGAGCCCCTCGCCGTGCGCGCGGAGGCGGAACGGGAGCCCCTCGCCATCCTCCGCGTCACCGCGGGCCTGGAGGCGAAGGGGCGAACGGGCGCGGCCGCGGCGAACGGGCGGCTCCTCTTCGTCCTCCTGCGCGCGGTCGCGGCGTACGCGCGGCTCCTCCTGCGCGTGGGCGCGGGGCGCGAGCTGGTACGCGCGGCCGCAGCGCACGCGCGCCTCCTCGCCATCGGGACGGGGGCCGCGGAGTCGGCGCCCCTCGCCGTTGTGGTTCGCACCGACGCGGACCTCGTCGTCGTCCCCGAGGCGGCAAACGAACAGCTCCTCGACAAGGCCGCCGAGCGGGCGCTCCTCGCCGTCGTCGAGCGCGGCGAACGGGGGTCCCTCGCCGTCGTCGTGCGCGGAGCGATGGCCCTCGCGGTAGCCGTTCGCGCCCCGGTGGACCTCGTCCCCGAGGGCGCCCTCCTGGTCACGCATCAATTCCTCGTCGTCGTCGTCCTTGAGGCGGGCACGGAGCGTGAGAAGCACGCGGCCACGGCGCGGCTCGTCAGGATCGTCGTGCGCGCCGCCGCGGAGGCCTTGGTCGTCGTCGTTCGCGCAGCTGCTCTGCCTCTCGCCGCCCACGCGCCCGCGTCCTCGGTGTCGCTCGTGCCCGTCGTCGTGAGCGCGGCCGCGGCGCCCCTCGTCGCCGACGTCCTCCGCGCAGAAGCCGCGCGTCTCCACGCCGTAGCGCGCGCGGCCGCGGAGCCCCTGGTAGTCGTCGTTGGCGTCGTAGTAGAGGCGCGCGCGGCCGCCGAGCGGGCGCCTCTCGCCGCTGACACCGAATGCGGGAAGGGGGAGCCCCTCGCCGTGCGCGCGGCGGCGGAGCAGCCCCTCGTCGTCCTCCGCGTCACCGCGGGCCTGGAGGCGAAGGACATCCCCCTCGTCATCGTAGCCCATGCGGTCGCGGCGGAGGCGCAGTGCGCGGTCGCGGAGCGGGAGCACGCCCCGCACCTCCTCGCCGAGCGCGCGGCCGGGGAGGAAGCGCAGCCCCTCCTCGTCCTCGGCCGCGTCGTCGTCGTACGCGCGGCCCTGGGGAGCGCGCACCTCGCCGCGCCGCGCTTCGTCGTCGGCGTCCCCGGCCGCGTCGACCTCGTGTCCCTGGCCGCGGCACCCCTCGTCGCCGACGTCCTCCGCGCGGAAGCCGCGCGTCTCCACGCCGTAGCGCGCGCGGCCGGGGAGGAAGCGCAGCCCCTCCTCGTCCTCGGCCGCGTCGTCGTCGTACGCGCGGCCCTGGGGAGCGCGCACCTCGCCGCGCCACGCTTCGTCATCGTCGTCCCCGCCCGCGTCGACCTCGTGTCCCTGGCGCACGCGCAGCTCGCCGTGGAGCGCTTCATTGTGGTCGCCCCCGAGCGCGAGCGCTTCCTCTGGTGCGAGGAACGCGAGGAGGACGCCATTGGCGACTCCCGCTCGCCCCTTCTCCTCGTCATCGGCGTCGGCGACAGCCATTTTCGTCAGCTCGTACTCCGGAGTGTGGCGGATATAGCAGGCCAAACGGGCGGCCCGGCCCAGCACGGCACGGCACACTGACGGCACGGCCCACTAGGGCACGGCCCGTTAGGCACGACTCCTGTAGCGGGCCGTGCCGTGCCGGCCCACGTGCCAAGGCCTCGGCCCAAGCACGGCCCAAGGAGGTGCTGGGCCGTGCCGGGCCGGCACGGCTACTGTAGTGGACCGTGGGCTGGTAGCCGGCCCACTAGTACATGTGGCCCATAAAAATTGAAATTTGAGGGGAAAAAAAAGAAAAAAGGCAGAAAAAATATAATATAAAGGAAAACATTATAAATATATGATAAATGTGAGGAAAATTTAGGAAATATATCATAAAATATATGGTACAAATAGGATAAAATGTGGAAAAAACTAAAAAATATGAGAAATATATGGGAAAAATTAGAAAATCGTAGGAAAAATAAATGGGCCGGTGGGCCGTGCCATGCCTGGGCCGTGCCGTGCCGGCACGCTACAGTAAACGTGCCGTGCCGTGCCGGCCCACGGGCTGAGGCGTCGGCCCAAACACGGCACGGGATAACGGGCCGTGCTGGCACGGCCCACAGGCTGGCGTGCCGTGCCGGGCCTGGGCCGGCTACAGTACTGCCGTGCTCGGGCCGGCCCAGCTTGGCACGGCCCATTTGGCCAGGTATAGTGGCGGAGGTTGAAGGGGAAGGGGGAACGGAGGTTGAAGCGGAAGGGGGGAAACCGGGCCAATTTTATAGGCCGGTGACGGAAGTGTGGGCCGAAATAAAATTTTATTTAAGGACTAAGTTCACTGCAGGTCCCTTAACTTAAGAGCGAGATTTTTTTGGTACCTTAACCACAAAACCAAAAATATCTACCCCTAAACTTACTCAAACCATTCAAAGGAGGTCCCATGGCAGTAATATCCCACTTTTTTTAATCTTTTGTCTTACTAACATGTGGGCTCCATATTTTTTGTTTTAATTTTTAATTTCATATTTTACTTCCAGTGCCACATCACTGTCACGTAGGACGAGGACAAATCAAACCAACCACGTAAGTGCTACATAAGCCAAAACCGCCATCCAAACCGTCGAGCGACCTTATCTGCACCGGTTTTAATATTTGAGAAATCTGTTGTTTCTGGTATTGTGGTTCAATGACGAAAATCAAACTCGCTATAAGTTAAGGGATCTAAGATGAACTTATTTCTAAATAGGTTCGGCTTAGAGCTCATTCGCCTTGCTTTGCCCTACCACCAACACCGGCTCACTAGCAGTTGCCTTTAGTCGTAACCTGAGTGTTTGTCGCATTGCATTGCGTTCATGAGATATCTCATTCTATACTAGTTTCCGGAGGAAATGTAATACTCACTTCATTTCAGGTTATAAGACTTTCTAGCATTGCTCACATTAATATAAATGTTAATGAATCTAGACATATATATGTATTTATATTCATTAACAAATATATGAATGTGGGCAATGCTAGAAAGTCTTATAATATGAAACTGAGGAAGTATGAGATAGAAATTAATGAAAAGTTTCCTTTGAATCTTTATCTTCCCTTAAATCGTTATGTTTTTTCTTACGATCAAATCAAATATTTAATTATTCCTGTGTTTTTTATATTTTATAATCATCTCGCAATGGCCAGCCATGCATTGCTACCCCCACCATAAGGGGGTATTTAGTTCCCACACCAAACTTTATACCATCTCACATGGAATGTTTGACACATGCATGACTATTAAATATAGAAAAAACTAATTACACAGATTGCGTGTAAATTGCGAGATGAATTTTTAAGCCTAATTAGTCCATGATTTGGCAATATTGTGCTACAGTAAACATTTGCTAATAATAGATTAATTATACTTAATAAATTTGTCTCACAGTTTACATGCGGAATCTGTAATTTATTTTTTTATTAGTCTACGTTTAATACTTCAAATGTGTGGTGGTATACACGATGTGACAAGCCAAAACTTTACACCTGTAAATGTAAACACCCCGGCGCAAACATGTCAAACGATTTTCCTTTTTGGAAACTGAATCACGATGATTTGAAACCTTCGTGACTGGCCGCCCAGCCAGCCCGATATGCGTCACACATTAATTATAGTATTTGAGAAGAATTTTGTAGTAATTTGAGCTCGAATTAACTACTCCTTCCGTCCCAAATTATAAGGTGCCTCTTTTTAAGAAAAATTAAACTCGGTACCTTTTGAGTAATAACCATACTAACTATATCTATACTAAGTATTACATATTATATCACTAGATTTATATTTTAAAATACTTTCATATAATGCTAATTTCATATTTATCGAGATCATAAAATAGAATAAAATACTAGTTAAAGTATGTTATTGAAGACTGTGTAAAAAATATATAGGTCTTATAATTTGGGACGGAGGGAGTATATTAATTAACACAGGTTTTTTTCTACAATTACCAAATTATAGTACTATATGATATTTTTATAGTGGCAGGAACCGAATTCTTGCATAACTCTGAAACGAAAGACTGTATATATATATATATATATATATGTCGGTGACATGGGACCGGGAGTATCATGACTAGAGGCTTGGGCAGGAGCAATCACCTACGAGGCCTGACCCCCTCGGGGGGGGGGGGGGGGGGGTCGGGCCCGAGGGTGATGTGGCCGCCTCCCTCTTTGTCTCCCCGAGGGGTCGGACCGCTCCCGTTTCGGCCCCGACGACTGAGGCGCCCCGACCCCTTGTGGATTTTGCGCCGCGTGTATGGGTTAGGTGAGCGCAGCGGGGCTCACCTAACCGCATTTATTGCGGTTTGGACGAGCGCGTCACGCCGCATGTAACGCAGTGCAGCGTGCTCGTTTATCCGGTCTGTGACTGGTCACAGACCGATCAGATCGTGGGTTAGGTGGCGACAGGCGGTCTGACGCACGCCTCGCCCCATCCCGTCAGGATGAGAGCCTCCAAGCACTCGTCCCTAGCCGGAGCCGGCGTGTTACCTCCTGGAGATGGCACGTTGGTCCCGGTCAGATATATGCCAGGCTTCATCCTAACCATTACAAGCAAGATATTGTATGAAGAAGGGCGAACATGGAGATCGATAAACTGACGCGTGGTGGACAAGAATGACCGATTTGTGACCGGTCTGACACTGGTCATGTCGTCGGCAGACAGCCATGTTCCCACGTCGCACCTGCTTCCGGCGGAAGTGGAGGTAGGTATGGGCCGTCCCATCAGAAGGTCATTCGGACGGCAACCATACAAATCTCCGTCCATTTATGAAGAGAAGGCAAGTCAAGTTGGAGAAAAGAGAGGATAAGTCCCCACACAAAAGAGAGAGATGGTGCATGTGGTATCCCCTTGAGATATAAAAGGAGGACCTTGCCCACTTAGAGAGAGAGGAAAAAGGGATGGAGAACGATCCGAGACTGGGATTCGGAACCAGAAAGGGAGAGAGTTAGAGTTCTCTGGCTCTCCAGCTCTTTGTAGCTTCTTCATACACAGATCCACCAAAACACAGGAGTAGGGTATTACGCTTCTCAGCGGCCCGAACTTGTATACATCGCCCGTGTCTTGTGTGTTTCCATTCTCGCGAACTTTCCACAGACCGAGAGCTTAGAACCTCACCCAGGGCCCCCGGCCGAACCGGCAAAGGGGGGCCTGCGCGGTCTCCCGGTGAGGAGCCACACGTTCCGTCATCTGGCGCGCCAGGTAGGGGGCTCTGCGTGTGTTTTTCCAAGCTCTCGCATTCTTTCGTGTGCGCCAAGCTTTTCCTGTTCAGCCCAATGGCCGAACAAGCAAAGGCGCACAACCTCTCTCCGAGTGTTAGCGGTGACGACGGGGAGCCGAACCCACGCCGTCGAGCTCGTACTCCACCGCCCCCTCCACGCCAAAGTCCTAGACGGGAGGAGGCGCTCGAGAGGGTCGAAGGATCCGCGACTGCGACATCCACGGGTGATGGAGAAGGGCGCCGAGATGGGGAGCGTCGCCTCCTCGTCTACGGCGATGGCAGCACGCCCCAGGGCGCGCTCCAAGCTGCGGGCGCGCTCCTACGTCACCCGCCCGTCGTCCCTGACCCGGAGTCTCCAGCCCAACGTTGGCTGGACGACATGGCCAACTTGGTCATGACGGCACGGCAACGCCTAGGTGCTGGTGGGCGCTCCTCCGCCACCAAGACCTCTGGCGCTGCTACCACCGGCTCCGTGTCGTCAAGGCGGAGGGCGCGGCGAGCGGCGGCTGTTGCTCGCCATTCGGCTGCCACTCCCTCGTCAGCACCTCCGACCCGGGAAGATCAGTGTGGGGGGCCAGATGCCCGCATCGGTATCGAGCACCGGCGTAATGGTCGACGTGCTGCCCACGCAACGGAGGGCGCCTCCTCGTCCGGAGTGTCACCTCAACTCGGACGCGGGGATCAGCCCTCCGTGCCCCCGGTTGGTGGTGTCGGCTGTAGAGCCTTTGTGGCGAGCGTTTGGAACGTCCGTTGGCCCTCAAGGTTCCGGCCCACCATGTCGCGACCGAGAAAATTGCATTTTCCCGAACGCTAGTGTATTAATGCCCGTCCCAGGAAAAGCCGGGGTACACCATACAAACATGATATAAAAGACACATCTTTATTATATCGATAATATTTACATTATTACAAAGGCACTTAAGGCCTGACAATCAAAAATAAACAGCAGCGGACTAGCGGGCCTACGGCTCCATCTTCACAGGCGCTCAACTGGGGTATAAGCCAAGACTCCACCTAAGACTTCTTCTCCAAAGCTTCTCTTACTGAAGGGGGGAGAAAGATAGAGCAAGAATGAGTACAACCACAGTACTCAGCAAGCCACACCGGCGGATGCACGATTAATGTAAGGGGGTACAAGGGGTAATGATATAGGGGTTAAGTTTTGCAGTTAACAGCATTTAAAAGTCACTTAGTTGCCCAAAGCCATTTTATAAAGACGATCCTAGAGCTACACAGTATTATTAATCAAGGCCGTGAACC